TCTTTTACCTCTTGTGTACAATGGTTTATGTCATCCTGAGACATCTGAATGAAAGTGACCATTTTTGCAGGAGGACTTAATAGGCTCCCTTTTCTTCACGTAGGCTGCCTTTCCCAAACCTAGGCCAGCGGTAGCTCCTGTGAAAGATGCGGGCACTAGGTAGGTATGTTCTCTTACTCTGCTGGGGTCTTCGGGATTCAAATTCTACACACAGTGATCTGTGGAGATATCTTCTGTCCTTTCAACCCTACTCCTTGATTTTGTGGACATTGTTCAGCACTTGATAGTGAATGCAAGGCTTGAGAATTCAAGTGAAAAGACTCAATAGGTCCCAGGTAACCACTTCAGAAGGAGCTTCTGAGTATCATTCAAGTTAATAGAATGGAAAGTAAGATAATTTGCCCTGGGCACACAATCCACCATGAGGTTGTCCTCTGAAAGCTTATTACCATAAAATTTGTGTTGAGTATGTTTTTATACCATGGAAATGTATAGATGTATAAATGGCAAAGAAATCTACCAGAGCACAGCATTTCAAAGAAAGTGAAACATCACTTTCACAATAGTTGTGCAAGGAAAACTTTCCCAGTGGAAGGTGTCAAAGGCATCTTTTGTTTTCTCACTCTATAGCATGTTGGCTGCTTGTGCTGTTACCCAAAAAGACTTCCTCAGTAAAGCAACAATCTAATGAGACAAAGGCTCTCTTCAGCTATAACTTAAAACACACTATATCACGCCTCTCTGTTGAGTAGTAATTGCACAAAGAATGAAATGGGAATTGCCTGGTTCAGGTTGGATACTGCAGTCAAGTGTGTCAAGGTGGCATCTTTTGGGGGTTTGTAACTGCATTTCTGAGCCATTTACCTCCTTCACCATGTAAGATATGATCTGTGACTATATACATATGCATATATATACATATATGGTATTCGGCTTTGTTCGGGTATTTTCCCATGTTATAGTTGTGCTTTTAAAGTTGTAGCAACGTTTCGGCAGAATCTCATCTGCCATCATCAGGCTGAAACGTTGCTACAACTTTAAAAGCACAACTATAATGACGTGGGAAAATACCTGAACAAAGCTGAATACCATACATATAAGTACCCGCGAAAACTTAAGAAAACATATATACATATGCATACACACATACAAACATGTGCATACCCCCCTACCCTTAGAGGAGACACATGCTGAATAACTAAATCAGAGTCCACCTGGGGTATTTTGATGCCTGCAGTAGAAAATCCAAAGAGAATATTTTTCCTGCAGAAGAGAGATGGGGAGATTGCTCACACAATTTGCTTTCTGTGAAGCCGGCATAATTTTCCTCTGAAAGTATGCTTTCTCGAAAAGTACTGGTAATGGCCTTTGGTATCTGTTTTATAGTATAGGCCTTGTACTGTGTTTCTGTGATTGGCCAGTTGTGAGGTTATGCTGTGTTTTGTTTTTCCCTCCAGCAAGCCGGTCTGTTCCCTGCAAAGCTTCAACATATTAGCTTTTGACAAGGAGAGGCTGGAGAAGAAGGTTAGTGATGTGGATCTGTGTGTGTATATATATGTGCATGCACACAGACGCATGCAGGGAAAGGGTGAGGCAGTTGCATTGCACAACCTAAGTATACACTGTGCCTGGCTTTGCTTTAATTGACACCGAAAAGCAAGCCCCCAATTTTCCATGCTTCAGATTAAATCATTTTTAGGAAGTGAGGGAGAAAGAAAAGAAGATACATGCGTGCACACATACATACATAGTTTCACAGCAACAGTTTCTTTTCAGTTGGCTTTATCTTTTTATAAACATTTTATCTTTTCATAAGCATAGGTATTACATTCGTTCCGCTAAATTTAAATGAGAACTGAATAGCCCTAATATTACCAAATATTTCCCTGTTTTTCTTTTGTTCTTCTTACATGGGGGGGAGGGGAGGAGAGAGTGTTGATTATTCCACCTGTTTGACAACTAACTTGCTAGAGATTGGTCGTAGAATGTCTCTTATTGTATGCCGTACAATGATTTTGTTAGAAACACCTCACTCTTGTTAACAGATTGTGATATACAATCAAGCTGGTCAGCCTCCACCCAGGGACCTGGTAGAGCAGCATCAAAGCATCACTCAGAAGATCAACTGGCAAAAGTCCCAGCTACAGCATGGAGGAGCTGCCATCATGAAAGGTATTTTGATACGAAGGCTCAGCTGTGAAACCTGCCTTTCTCATCTGGACTGACTTTGGTACACCAGTCAGCCCTAAGGCACCCAAGCAATGGTTCCCGACCATGTTTGATCTTCATTCTACAGAATATCTGACTCGATTGGAGCAGTACCATCAGTGGTACACAGAGGCAGCAAGGCGCCTTGGAAATGATGGAAAACGGGTATGGAGTGATTTCGTAGCATGGGGGTAGGACGAGGGAAGAAGATTCACTTTCTGGCCCCTAAGCTTGGTTGGACAATGGAGGACCACTTATTTAAAAGAGCACGAAATCTGTGTCAATACTAGGGTGGTTTGAACACAGGCCTCAGCTAAAATGTTGTCTCCTCTACTGTTCGGCAGGAGGCAGCTAAGGATGCTCTTTACAAGCGCAGTCTGGTGGAGAGAGAGGTGAGTAGTGCCTGCAGATTCTTCTTTTCCCTGCCCAGTTGGTCAGAACAGATTGAGACAAGTCCAGAATCTTTTCCATCTTGTGTCATGGGTTCCCCTTTGTGGGTCCCTTCATTCTTTTGGGTGGGAAGAAATGGTTTTCCTGAAGCATTTAAACTTGTACAACTTAACTGAGTACTTGTACTACTGAAAGCATTCTACAAATCAGGGTTCCCAATCTTGGCAACATTAAGTTGTGTGGACTTCAGCTCCCAGAATTCCCCAGCCAGAATGGTTGGCTGGGAAATTCTGGGAGTTGAAGTCTACATGTCTCAAAGTTGTCAAGATTGGGAACCTTTGCTACAGATGATAAGGCCATTTCCCCAAGTCCTCCTTCGTCAAACTGTCCTGCACTTTGGAGTGCATGTTTTTCCTGTGACTGTGACTGGGGCAGGTTCTTTCTCCTGTCTCCATAGGCATAGGCTGATTCCCAAGCTGAGTCCAATTTAGAGTGCTATTTTTTTTACTTTTTGAGAGAAGCTATTTAAATAATTACCAGTTTCCACAGATATTTCTTAGGGGATTTTGTTATCAAACATTAGGCTGGTGGCTGCCAGGCAGACAGTCTTCACAGTGGTTCTTAACAATCTCAAGTGTGTCTGCCCTGGATTTTTACAAAAAAAAACCCCTTTTTTTTTAATCCCAGCTTTTGATCAGCCTTGAGAAAATTTGTATGTTAGTTGATGGTCTTTGTTTTTTTTTTAAATCCTGCCTGTTCTATTTTTATAAATAACTCAAGGCAGCACAAGCATTAATACTCTTTCCACCACCTATTTTCCCCACAGCAACTCTGAGGTAGGTTGGGCTGAGAGAGAATGACTAGGTCACAGTCACCCTTGCATGATAAGACAGGACTAGAACTTACAGTCTTCTGGTTTCGAGCCAGTGTCTTTAACTACTGGACCAAACTGGTTCTTATGAATACCAGAGATGGTTTACTTTTGTCTTTTCTTGGAAACATTGATGTTCATGTTTTTGTCTTTCAGCTGCAGAAGTTTCAGAAATGAAGCTAAAGCACTTAAATTATCTATCCAAACAACAATGCTTTCAAGCATGGTCTTTTCACTGTTACAGGTGAAGGGTAGTGGAAAGACCAAAATGCATAGGCTGAATGCTGATGGATCAGTAATGCCACAAGCTGAATCTTGATTAATTGACTTTGCAGAAAACTCTTCCTAGGCTTCACCGTAATCGATTCACCATTATAACCCCAACGACCTGAAGAGAGACAATCTATGTGACAGGTGCCTTATAGCTACATCCATCACTCCTTCCTTCTTTTGCACTAAGCATTTTGCACATGCCACTTGAGCTGTTTTTTTTTAGCCTGATCTAATCTAACCCCTTCTCAGTAGTCAAGGAGACCCTTGTGTGTGAAGTCTTGTATGCCCATGCCTGCGGGATTCCAATTTTTAAATCTATCTTGTATACCAGTTGAGATAGAAGTCCTGTTCACATGGTATCTTTCTCCACTGACCAGGGTAGTTAATAGTTTTAGGTGTGTTAATATAGATAGCAATTGCAGTGATGGAAAGATTCCAAACCATCCCAAATTAACTGAGTTGGTCCAGTTTGGAATTTGGCACTTTCAGTGTGTTTAACGAGGTTCTTTCAGAAGCCATATAGTTTGCATTCATTTCCAAGGTTCTCTTATAGCTACTGCTCTGTTTTGCACCTGGCACTTTGCACACTGTTTTTTTGGATTTTTTTGGCCCTTATTGGTGTATACGGACAGCTAATAATAATAGACTTTTGGTCCATGCCATCACTTTTCAGTGGTCAAAGAGATCTGGTTGCGATTCCTTGTGTGTGCAGCCTTGCATGCCTTCTAAATCTGCCTTGTATGCCAGTTGAGAGGGTCCTGCATACATGGTAGCCTTTTCTACCAAGAGCTAACTAGTCTGCTCCTTAAACAATCTCTAATGTGGAGAAGTATGTAGCCACAAGACTCATACTTTTTGAGGGGTCTGGACTGTAACATACTTTCTCGTTGTTTCTACCTTGTCTTGGAGGGATCAAGAGATGAAGCATCTATGAGACTGCTAAATGAGATGGTTCCCTTCTTTAATGTATAGAAAGTAGGAGAGCAGTCTTTCTCAGTTCTGGTGTACAAACGGTTTATGAAATTCATTCATGGATGCAGGTTAGATTTTCTTCTTATATGCAATTGTATTATTTCTGTGGAGTGGAAGATGGTGTCTAACAACCCCAACTTCCTGATACATTCTAGAGAGAGGCTGTGTCACTTAGTTCCTCTTCCCCACACAAAGACAGGAGAGAGGCTGCTGGAACCTGTTGGGGTGCTTTTTTTGTATAATTCATTTTGACAGATGGAAATGTGATCTTTCCTAGTTCTTTTTGCTGTAAGATTTGAGTTTAAGAAATTAACTCAGGATTGTTGCTGCTGTGCTGCTGCTCAGGATGAAATGAGGTGATGAACTGTGGGTTGTATCCAGGTGGTCTTCCCTGCCTCCGCCTACATACCTTTTTAAACCAAATTTTAGTTTATTGTAAAGATGATAAAAGGAAGACAAATGTACCATATACCCGTTTCTTTCCGGACCCATTTTCACAATCTCATTTTTATAAAAGTGCCTGTCTCTGAAACTATTGCTCAGCCACAGGTTTTCAGAATTGATGTTAAAAGGAAAGGCTGCAAATCTGTGTTATGGCTATATTTTATGTATAGGATAACATAAATATAAAACATTTTTAAGGGCGGGAGCGGAGAGAGATTGTTCAAAACAAAAAATCTTTAATGTACCAGTAATAAATTCTCCAAACCTCATTTTAATCTGGATTCTGTTTATGTGTCTGCTCAACAATAATATGCCATTCTTATGGAGTCTTCCATCTATGTTATCACTTTAATTTCTTTTTTTTCCTCATCTATCTCTGTATAAAAACAGTTTAATATGTTAAGCTAATACAAGTTTAGCTTATGAAGTCATTTAATATTAAAATAATTCAGTTTCTATGGCTTCATCCTTGATACAGGCATGGTGTCTTTGATTGCAATTAAAGTTATATTTTCCATAGAAAAATACAAGCCTTATTATGACTTTAGTCCTGTAATGATGGACCCTTAGTTAGAACAGAATAATAGGGTTGGAAGGGACCTTGAAGGTCTTCTAGTCCAATCTTCTCTCTACTCAAACAGTCATAAATGTGGGAGATCAAAACACTGGCTAGTAAATTCTATGTGATAGTGAACAGCCTAGCTGTCATTTCTGTCATCTTCTCCTTTGCAAAACAATTAAATAGCATTTCACACATGGAGAAGAAAACCTTGGCATTTACAACTTTGTAGCTCACTGCAGCAGCTGGGCTATTAGATTGGCAATACATATGAGAAGTGATGCAGAAGGAACTGTGGGGGAAGTGCTCCACTGAATGTCCTTGCCAATATTGCAAATGAGTGCAGGAGGATGCACTAGCTTCTTCTGGGTATCACTGTCGCTTTAGTTCCTGGAAAGCTTAGCCAAGCCAAATGTAGATCCATTGGCACTTAGCATTCCAGTTTTGCTCCCAAGAAAAGCAGCTTGTTTGCACTGGCTTTGTTGTATTTGACTGACTGAAACCGCAAGAGTAAACACTATACAACAGAACCCCTTCCAGAAGTTGGCAGGTAGATTAGAGTCATCAAAAGGCCTAAGGAAGTAGAGTAGTGCAGAGAATTCCGGATGGTAATCTGCAGAAGAAAGAGATACAATCAGTGGGTGTGACGTGTCCAGAAAGATTGACTGTATTTATATTTGTAACATGGGATCTTCTGCACACGTGGAAGCAGCACTGACAGCAATACTGCACATTTAGGTTGAACTGTGTTGTCGATTGGGAAAAGACTAGGGGTAGGAAGGGAAAGCTCAAGGTGATAAAAATTGCCAAGCAAGCCTTGGGTAATGAGATCCTCATCCAAGGATACAATCCAAGCAGGGGATTATCTACCCTATTTTGGTAGGATCTGGCACAATCATTGCTATCATTTTAGTACTGGGTGAAGACATTAAAAAATTAACCTTCTGTGGATGTAGTTTGCTCCAGTTTCATTACACTGTATAAATGTTTATAAACCACCGGATTTAAACTCATACACATTTTTTGGAAATTATTAAAAAGCAATACACAAATGATTAAGTCAACCACCAATCTATCTGCAACTAGGTTGTATCAAATAGCAGGTAGCATTTACATCATACTATTCATACAAGAAAGCCAGCTTGGTGTAATCTAAAAAACAGGAAACCTTCAGTTCTAATTCAACTTGTATACAAAAACAACTGGGTGACCTTGGCACAGGCAAGCTCTCTACCCTAGGAAGGAGGAAATGGCAAATACTTTTGAAATCTTGCCAAAAAAACAGCAGGGATTTGTCCAGGCAATCTACTGGGATTCAACATTGACTTGGGCACTCTTCACCCTGTCATATTTTTATATGGCAGGTAGTGCTTGGCTTATGACCATACATTGTGGTTGTTATCTTATGACTTTTTTTTTCCAGCAATCATTTAGTGAATGCCAGGATCATTAAGCCAATGTAGCAGTCATTAAATTCATTTTATCCAATGGAAGTACTGCCAAAACCCAGCAAGAATTATAGTGCAAATGGCTATAAATACAAGCCAGCTGCCAAGCATCCCAAGTGCAATCATGTTACCACGAGGAGGTACAATTGTCAGAACTCTGGAAGCAAACCGTAAGTAACTTTGTGGATCCATTGTAACTTTGAACAGTCACTAAGTGGCTAGTCGTTAAGCAAGGACTACCTATACACATTTCCTTGAAGGCAACCACCATAGCAGGGAACGGCACAATTTTTGCTCGTGCTTGCTGTGTAATGAAAATGAAAGCTACTTTGTACATTCACATGAATCTCATTCAACTTTGTAGTCAATTTTCAAGCATACACTCATGAGATGATACTCTATACTATTTTTTCCTGTAAACTCTTGCATTATCCAGCTCTTCTACAGCTGAAAACTATTAAGGAATCTGTTATCGGTGAATTTTAATCATTTTTATATCACTGATCAGAAATTTATGATTCTGCAAGAGCTGAAGAATATGCAGGATGAATGCAAACTTACAAGTTAGGTCCACTGTGAGCTCTAAATCTAACCTCTTCCAGGCTACTTTCCTAGGTGGCCATTTGAGTCTGGGCCTGGTGTCCAGCTTGCAGAAGAGAGAGGCTGATAGGGTCTGGGTTGCCTGCCAGGTCTACTACTTCCAGGAATTTAAGGTCTGCAAATGCCTCTTCCGACACATTGGCTGCCAATAAGCGATTTGATCTACAAAACAAGGAGGGTAGAGTAATGTCACAAGAACTGGAGCCTGACGTTTAAAAAAAAATAATTGGAGGGAATTCCAAAGGAGGCTATTTTCATTGAAAATACCATTGTTTTGTTAGAAGTTGTATTAAAGAGGAAGAGCTACACATAAACTGAACTCACAGATCTATAATTTATGAGCTGTAAGCATGTAATATTCAGTCGTTAGATATTCATTCTTCTACAAAAGGCAGTTAGTTGGCTTTTCGTTTACCTCAGAGAGATGACCCGTATCTTGGATGTTGTGAGGAAAGTTTCAGCCATAATGACAATAATTCTGTTGTGTTGCAAGTATAGATATTCCAGTGATTCTGGAAGGTCTGGTGGAATGTATGACAACTCATTGAAACTCAGATCCAGGAGCTGGAAAAGAAAAACCCACTAAATATTAGGTTTGGGTGTCATTTACAATGGCAATAACTAAAGATAAGTTATCCTCCATAAACCTACGTAATCTACAATTTCTGCAGACTTTCATAATGCACTATGTAAAGCAGCTTTTAATTAATTAATTAATTACTTTATATTGCTGCCTATTCGCCCATGGCGACTTTCGGTGGCTTACAGAATGTAAAACCATATTTAAAATAAAAAACAAAAACTAACAAGAATCAAATAAATTATAATACATTAATATAATACGTTAATAAATACAATAGAACAATGTGGGAAAAAAATAAAAAAGCACCCCCAACTCCTACCCCACCCCCGACGACAGCAGATCACATGACCCCTTTGATGGGCTCCATCCCGCTCTGGGTTCCCCAGGCCCACTGGCAGAACCAGGTCTTCAGTGCCTTCCAGAAGAGTATTAGGGGGCCATTCTAATCTCTGTGGGAATGATGTTCCAGAGAGAAGGAGCCACCAGAGAGAAGGCCTTTCTTCTGGGTCCCACGCAGCATTCTCTGCCTCCCCGCTCTTAATGGGTACGGTAGATGTGACCAGCAAGAGATGTTCCCCTCAGATAACCTGGTCCCAAGACATGAAGGGCTTTAAAGGTGACAACTAGCACTGAATTGCACCTGGAAGCAAATCGGCAACCAATGCAGCTCCTGCAGGAGAGGTGAAACATGCACACCAGGGTCTGCACAAAACCATGTGGGCCGCTGCATTTTGCCCCAACTGGAGCTTCTGGATGTTCTTCAAGGGCAGCCCCATGTAGAGCGCATTGCAATAATCAAGATGTGAAGTGGCTAGAGTAGGGACAGTCGGTCCAGGAAAGGGTGTAACTAGTGCACAACCCACAGTTGCACAAAGGCCCTCCTGGCCATGACCGCCACCTGCTCTTCAAGCAGGAGTCGTGAGTCCAGGAAAACCCCTAGATTACGTACAGGGTCTATTTGGGGTAGTGCCACCCCATCCAAGACCAAAGGTAATTAAGCCAACGAACCCCAAACCCAGAGCCACTTGGTCTTGCAAGGGCTTAGTTTCAACCTGTTGCTCCCCATGCATTTTCTTTTGTCTATCCTGAATCCATAATAAAACAACTTTACTAGATGAACTAAATATGATATGAAGTTACTTGCAAATTAAAATTTAATTTTGCATGTATGTATCTACATTTGTTTTAACTTAATTTTGGATGTCAATTCCCAATTTGCTTTACTTGCACATAGGCGTTTATTCTGAACAACTCTACCATTTTGCTGTCCTAAAATGACCTTTTTTAGCCATATGAATATACATTGTGCAGCTCCCTCCCTGTTCCTTCTTGCCTCACCTTGAGCCCATGCAACTCATGCCAAGTCCCTGGAGAAATACTGCTGATCTTCAGACGGTTGTGTGCCAGGTGCAGCTCTTTAAGTACGGTGAGGTTAACTAACCGTTCTGGAGAAAGAGCATTGAGCTGATTCTTCTGAAGGTTGAGGACTTGAAGACTGGTGGGCAACCCAGCAGGGAGAAGCGTGAGCCTATTGCCAGAGATGTCCAGAGTTTCTAGGAGCCTAAGCTTGCGGAAGGCCAGACGGTGGATGTGGGCACTATAAAGCCGGTTGTAACTGAGATTGAGCTCAGTCAAAGCATACGTGGTCGCAAAGTCATTCAAGCCAATGCGAGCAATCTGGTTATGCAGCAGCATCAAGGATCGGACACGTCGCGGAAGTCCAGGTGGGATTCCATCCAGCTGATTATTGTACAAATGGAGGGTATGCAGGGAGCGCAAGTGGGCAAAGGCCTCTGGGTGCATCCCTGAAGTTGTTAAAGCATTGCTTTGCAATAGGAGATACTGCAGGCCTCGCACGCGGCTGAGACGCTCTGGTGGTAGTCCCTTCAAGTGGTTTCGGCCCAAATGTAGTATTACTATGTTGGCAGGAAGACCAGCAGGCACCTCTGTCAAGTTGTTGTTGGAAAGGTCCAGATATTCGAGGCTCTTCAGCTTGCTACAGAGATACAGGATAAGCCTGATGAACAGCCTGGAGAGCCTTCCAAGGCCCCCTTCTCAAGCAAGTTGTCTTCAAAATCCGGAAGTTTTAAATTATACTGCTGTTTGCCAGAGCCAGTTTCACTTTTTACCATTCTTACCTGAACGTGGGATGGCTCAGGCCCTCACTGGATAGATAATTGTTCTGCAGGTAAAGCTCCCGGAGGCGCCCCTGGCTGCTCAAGGCCCCTTTAGGGATACGAGAAATGTGATTATTCTGCAAAAGGAAGTCTTGTGGTCAAAGAAATGCCCCACTCTCGTTCCCCCAACAATTTAGAACGGGGTTATAGATGAGAATGGCCAAAAAGCTCTTGTGGTATTGCTATCGTGCAGAAGCAGAATAAATGGGAAATGAACACCCATGGCTGTACTGTGGGAACTAATCACAAATCTGGCATCTTCCTCGGAATCTCCTTGGCTTTTCAGGCAGTTTATATTAAATAGAGAAACCAATTTTAACCTTCCAGGACTGAGTCCAGCTGCACAGAAACCTGCATTCTTGAATATATTTGCTCATAATTAAGACTTAGAGAACATGGGAGAATGTGCATCTTTTCATGCTTAGACATTTTCCAATAGTCAAGTAATATGGTTTATCTAGTACAAGTAGAAAGAGTACAGGTAATCCTCGACTTACAACCACAATTGAGCCCCAAATTTCTGTTGCTAAGTGAGATGTGCTAAGCGAACTTTTCCTCATTTTATGCCCTTTCTTGCCTCACTTGTTAAGCTGTTAAGTTGGTAACACAGTTGTTAAGTGAATTAGGCTTCCCCACTGCCTTTGCTTGTAAGAAGGTTGCAAAAGATAATAACCCCAGGACCCTGCAACTGTCATAAGTATGAGTCAGTTGACAAGAACCTGAATTTTGATCATGTGATCATGTAGGGATGTCCCAATGGTCATAAGTGTGAAAAATGGTCATAAGTCCTTTTTTTCAGTGCTGTCATACTTTGAACTAAAGGAACTGTTGTAAGTCAAGGGCTACCTGTATTAGATATTTTGCCACCTTGAGTTATTTATAAAAATAATAAAGGCAGGATAATAAACAAATAAAACATAGTCTCCTCAGACAAGGAAAGTGCACTTGACATTCTGAAGGGATACCATTCAAGAGCAGTTTTCATGGTTCTGTAGGTTTCATACGTTAGCCCATCATTGTGTTTCCTAAAAAAGAATTAGCTCTGATTGTCAGTTAACATTTCTTTTTAACAAAGGAGAGAAGAACTGACAGGGAATTCACAACATACAAAAGACTGTGAGCATATGTGTTATGCCACTTTTCAGGTGCTTTTGCAATCCGTTCCAGGTGCTTCACCATGGAGGGTGAGCTTATACAATTGAGAATTGAGAAACAATTGAAAAACTGAGTTTAACAAAACAAAAGATTGCATTCTTTCTGCTAACAGCACTCTCTCTTAGAGCTTTCCAGTTCATATTGTTCCGGCCAACCTTTTTTTCCTACCCTGACAGGATGGGAGACAGCTACAGACCTGCAAATGGAGGCGAACAACACCACGGGGCAAATTCTGGGGCACATAGGTGAGCCGATTGTTGGAAAGGATCAGGGTGCTGACAGCATCTGAGCCATTGAAAGCGTCAAAGGACAGACCAGTGTTGTTCAAGTAATTGTTGTGCAGATAAACAGACCTGAATGGAGAGAAAAAAAATGGAAAGAACACATTAAAATTAGCCTAGAGTAATATCCTAGAGATATATTGGCACTAAAGTATCTTGATGGGATAGAAGTAAAAGATTGCACTTGTAGGGCATATTCTTCTCTGAGTACAAGTAGTCCTCAACTTACAACAGATTGTTGTAGTTTTGTGACTGTTCCAAGTTACAATGGCACTGAAAAAACGACTTATGCCCGCTTTTCACACTTACAAAGATTATAGCACCCCATGGTCATGTGATCAAAATTCAGACGCTTGGCAACTGGTTCATATAACAATTGCAGTGTCCCAGGTCATGTGATCAACTTTTTGTGACCTTCTGACAAGCAGTAAGGAAGCCATTTTACAATCGTGTTACTAACTTAGCAACTGCAGTGATTCACTTAACAAATGCAGCATGAAAGGTCGTAAAATGGGGCAAAATTGACTTAACAAATGTCTCACTTAGCAACAGAAATTTGGGACTCAGTTATGGCCATAAGCTGTATTCCACTTTCCCAACAAGCAACATTGGCCAGCCAAGAGTCCAGGGATTACACACACACACCTTACCCTATTTGTCCCGGTTTCTGCCATGTCTTACAGAGTTTATCTGTGTACCTCTCTCTGATAAAGAATTTCAACCTTCCCTATTTAGTAATTCAGGTCAGGCCTTTTGCTGCTGCTTGAGCAGATGGTGTGATTTCCAGTGCCTTGAGTTTTCTGAAAATTGGCATCATTCTCATCCTCCCACCCCCTGCCCAGGGTGCCATTCTCGTTATGTAGTTTTCCAAGGAGTTGGCCAGCACCTTGTAGTCTGGCTTTACTTCTAATAAAATGTGGGGATTTTTTTTTTCTTAACTTTACCTGAGACCAGGCTTATGCCCAAAGGTGAGTGGATAGAGCCACGTCAGGCAGTTGGCAGCAAGGTCCACAATGCGTAGTGTGTGGGGTAGGAACTGTGGTGCTACAGATAGCTGGAAAAGAAATGTGAAGATATGCACTGAAGAAAGATTTTCTCATTTTATGTGTACAATTGGAACATGGAAAATGGGAAACATGAACCAAGAAAAACACAAGATGGTCAAAACGGAAATAAAGCATATTAAAATGAGTGCTTTAATAATATGAACATAGATGGACTGGAGAGCATGATACAGGACATGAAAGCATATGATGGAATCAAGTGAAGTGGCCATAATATTCAAAAAAGACTGTAAAGTGAGGGTTCAGCTACAATCCAATAAATGACACAGTAGCATCTATTAAAATTAGTGGACATTCAATTAACATTGATGTTGTATAATGCACCAACTACAGATACAGTGATGAAAGATACCAAACAAGCCCATAGCAAATTGCAGGAGGTGCTGAATATGATATCAAGATAGATGTGCTACCGGTAGTGCTGAGTGATTGGAATGAAAAAGTTGGAAGAAAAGAAAAACCTGTAATTAAGAGGAAAAATTGATTAGGTGCGATGCAGAAAGTTAAATGCAGTTTTGTGAAGAGAATGCTTCTTTACTGAACCTCTGCTTCAAGCAACATAAACATAACAGCAAAACCAACCATAAGGAGAAATATAATCCAGTCTAGGTTCAAGCTGTGCATGAATAATCAACTATTGATGTTAATATATGGGTTAAACTTTGAAAATTTATTTGCTTGGTATACTAGATTTTAACTAGTGGATAAATTGTATGAAATAGATTCTAAAGAGCTAAGAGATCACTGAGCAAGTGAACAATGGAAATTAACAGGGGTCTGTCGAGGCACTTTAAGGGAGAGTCACTAACAAATTTTAATCTAAATCAAGAGTCAAGTACTTAACTAAAGTATGATTCTAAAAAGAGTTAGAAAATGAAATAAAAACATTTCTACTGTTAATAAATACTCGAAGAAGAAGAAGAAGAAAAAGAAACTGAACAGTGTGCAACTATGATTTGCAATGTATGCAGCAGGTCTTCTTGCCTAGAATCAACTGGAAATAAATTTGCAGCACAGTAGAAGCAACCTTAATATGAAAACAAAAGAGAAGCAAGGGCAGAAGACAATAGTATCAATCAGGACCATGAGGATTAGATGTCCGGAAATGTAATTACTGGAACTTTTGAAGATAAAACAAGTTCTGAACAAACTTTTCCTTAAAAAGATGGAGAAAGCACAAACTGTTCTTGACTTGCTGTTAACTAGTAGGAAAGATTCCACTGAACTAAGGAAAAAAAGGACCAACTTAAACCGAGCATACTCACATACATATCTTCGACTTCAAGAAAGCAAATGTTAACAAACTCAGACAAATATGAGATGGAGAAGCTACTGAGAAAACAGCTTAAGAATGGTAGGAGTTCCTAAAGAAGAAAGAATCGCTTATTTTGTGAAATGGGTGGCTATATCAATTGAACAAATAAATACCAAAATTCCAATAATGCAGAAAACTAGTTAGGCTTCAGAAAAGACACCAGATAACTAATACTTAAGAAGGATAATAGAGAGAGCAAAACAATATAAGAGGGAGATACGTATGCCTTTTTATTGATGATAATAATTTTTTTTCAATGAATAAACTCTTATTGTACTTTAAGAATGCTGAAATTTATCTAGCTTCCTTCCATTTGTATTTTTATTCTATTTTTATAGAGAGCTTTTAGTGTGTTATTACTGTTCCATATTTTCTTATATACGGGCTGTAAATAAAATAACAAAGAAGCATTGCAGGAAATAAATTCAAACATGAAGTTACCCTCAGTGGTGTTAGATGGGAAGTACAGTAGGACTTCAGGCAGGCCTATTCTTACCAAATCTTACCAAAAATGAGAGTGAAGCTACTTTTCTACTCACAGTTCAGAACCCTGTTATCCCTAACAGAGTTGCAAAGTTTCTATTTGCTGCACTTTCTGCAAGAAGGCATAAAAAATCCTAATCGTAGACGTAGAGTGATGACACAATTTTTTATATGTTTTTATTTTTATTTTCCTTATTCATAATTTATCACTCATGCAGTTTTAGTCTGTTTCATTTAAATTTCCTCATTCTTTGGTTGTCAAATCCTGATTTTGTAGGTTTTATACATTAATTTTCCACTGTCTTTGTTGCATTTGGTTATTGCTTTAAATTTGGTTGGGTTTTTTTCAATTTTGCCTTTTTAATTTTATTTTCTCCTTGGATTTGAGAGGTAAAGCCAGTATTCTACCACAGAGCATGCCAAAGCATGTTCAGGATAGTTAGCATGGCTACAATCCCCTGCCTGGGATTTGAGTTTGGAGCAGAGACTATTATCAAAGGGTTAGAAAAAAGATCGAGCAAATAGTCTGAAAATTAAAGATAATTTGATGGGATTTTCTACAAGGATATTGTTTTTCTGAATTGATTCAACAATTTGAAAATCCAAATAAATCTATCTAAGAAATCCAATTTAAATTTAGAAACCTAAATAGAAAGCGAGGTGTTCCATCTTGGCATAAATCATGTCCATTTTTAATTTTTTTTGGGTGGGATGGTGGTGATCAGCCGAAGAAGTTATATATTTCTGGGAGAGGAAAAAAAAATTTTGAATCGAGATTGATGCCTAGTGGCTACATAGACATAACCATGCAGTTCTCTTGGCAATAATATGGAATTGGATTGCCACTGCCTTCATCTAGTTTTGCTTTTGGTTTTTTTTGTTTTGCTTCTCAGATTCTAGCCTACAATCCTGGTATTCCTTGGTGGTCTCCAATTCTAGTACTAACCAAGTAAAACCCTGCTTACTAAACCAGTCAGATTTGGCCAGGTGAAGAAAAGTAGTGATTGTGCATGGTGATCATGGTCCAGTGGTCTACCCTGAGTCCTTTGGAGGGAAAGTGGGCAAAAAATATAATAAAAAATATCAATGATTCCTTCTTTTAAACAATCCTAGTTATCCATGAAGCATTTGATTTTTATATAGAAATCTCAGATCAAATCTTTTTCATCTTGCAGTTCCTTAATTTAGCATTTCCCATCTTCTTTGCTGATGCTTGTGTTTTTCTGTGTTTGTGCAAGTAAAAACCCACATCACTACACCGTATGCACTTATTGATCTAAATATGCTCACCTTGTTATTGGCCAGGTAGATGTACTGAAGTGACTGCAGTGACTCAAAGGCTTCATCTGGGAGACCTTTAAAATGGGACAAACTAGAATAAGGTCTGTCTATATTTGGGGTCCTGCCTAAGTTGCTGTGTCAGTTAGATTTCTTACCCCATGCAAGACCTCTCAGTATCCACTCATCTACTTGGTATTCACCTCTCCCTATCCGCTCATGCCATGCTCAGAAAGTAAAGAAAACTGGTTTGCAGTCTCCTGCTGATTTAGTCAGCTATGAGTGAGACCAAGCTGCTATTTATCAGCCCTTCCACACAGAGCAGCCCCCTCTCCAGTAAAATATGCTTGAGTTTTATCCTGCCTTTTATATAAGCTAAAGCAGCATATTGTATGTAGCACACCCTCCTATTTTTGATTTAAATATCCTGTAAGATGAGATTGGACTGAGAGGAAGTGACTGGCCCACAGTCACCCAATGAGCCTCCACGATTGAGGGTAGACTGGCCGCCTTCTAACCAGTTCAACTGGTTTTTAACCCTCTATTCATGGAAGAAAAGCAAGTGATACTTTACATTTCAAAGAGCCCTTCCACCCACCAATCCATTTACCCTTAAAGAGAACAATGATCTTAAACTGATTCACTACTGCTTGTGTACATTAAACGGAAGGATTCCCAGGAAATGCCTGGGAATGCTGGCTTACCATCAGAGGTGATCAGATTGTCATGGAGGTTGAGGGTTCGTAGGTTGATCAGACGGGATAGTTCATGGTAGGGTAGCTCTTGCAATTGATTATTCTACAGAAGGAAGATCAGCACTGTATAACAAGGGTAGGAAGGCATCCATACCATCATGGTATCTTCTTTCTCTGCGCACCTGCAGTTTCTGAGAACTAATATTTTACCCCACAGAGCAAAGCTCATTATCTTCCCCAATAGGTATCAGGGTAACATCACCTGCAATGAAAGATGCTGGATCTCCGTAGAGATATTGCTGGGGAAGATGTGCAAGTCAAGGCCACCACAATCCACTGTCTCCTCTGTCGGGCACGTGCATTGAGCTGGGCAAACAGACACATTCTGGGCAGGGTCCCCACGGGGCTGGGATGTTGACAGTGACAGGTCATCATCTTCATCCTCATCCTCCTCGTAGTTTTTCAGCAGAAAGCTATAAGGAATACTTGCCAGGAGTAGTAGTAGATGACCACTGCACAGCTGCAGGGGCAGAAGAGGGGGCCAATCAATGGTGCTCTGTACAATAACATAACATGCTTTTCTCTCAATGCTTCTCCTGTCTGCTCCATTGGGTATCCAGGAAGCACTCCTCCCCTCCCCGTTCCCAAGTCTGTGCCTTTGGGAATGTAGACAGAGGTCTTTCATAACATTGAAATGCCTTACTAAATGAAATTGGGTACCCAACAGGCACAAGGGTGTTTGTCTCTCCCAGGGGGTATTAAGCAAATTATTATTTTTTTAAATAGAGGATGACAAAAATATCACATGCAGGGTAGGAAGAACAGAGGTTTGCATTAAATGTTTAGGTAAAGTTCATGCCAGCATAGAACAGTGTCAAAAGTGTTGGGAATGGGCTTATACAAGGTTTTCATTAATGTGGCATGGAAAAAGGCATCCTTGACTAATTCTTGGGGAAGGGAGAGCAAAACCCCACACAACAGACTTTACAAGGCTGAATTTCAAGCAAAAATTAAAGGCCAAAAAAGTGCAACGGAGATCATCTAGATTCTAGAGCATTACATTTGTAAATGTAGCCTTACATTGGTAAATGTGTGAATGAGAAAAAGGGAGAGAAGAAAGTATGTTGATATTCAAGAAACTTCTGTCTGTGATAGGTGCCACAGTGCAGGGGACAATGTTTTTTTTTTTTGGGGGGGGGGGGGGAAGGGACTATATAATCTTGTTGAAAGCAGGAACCAATCAACATTACCCATTTAGACACTGCTTTCCTGAGCAAAAGTATTCCAAGCTAGCATTCCTGGTCCTAGCTGCTCCTAAAAGTGTCTACTTTCTGTTTCTTTCCTTTGGGGGGGCAGGAGTTCTTCTGATGCCTTTTAACATCTTTATGACAATTTCAATTTTCATAGGTAGAGTTTCTTCCATATGGTGTTATAGACATAAATTAAATAAATTATATATTTAAAAATGTTCCAAATGGCTGCAGAATTTCTGCCTGATACAGCTGTTCGATGTGCGCATGAATGTCATGGACTGCAAAGAAATGTCATAGTGGTAGCAGAGATGCCCTGTTTTCTTGCTACATCAAAACACACACACACACACACACACACACACACACACACACACCCAGAGGCTGGCATTCCTTAATCCGAAACAACATTTCCCGATGTAACCATTTCGAATATAGATTCCCACTTTTATCAGTTGGCATGCGCGATGGAAAACGGGAAACCCTTTACACTAAGTACTTTAAACTTCGAACCAGAGTAATTATAAAATGTAACTCAGACCATTTAAAACGGTCCAATCGCCCTTCTGCAGCTGTCTCGCAAGGGAGGTAACACCTGTGAATTAAAGCAGGGGTCTCCAACCTTGGCAAGTTTAAGCCCGGAGGACTTCAACTCCCAGAATTCTGGCTGGCTTTGCTGGCTGGGGAATTCTGGGAGTTGAAGTCCTCCAGGCTTAAACTTGCCAAGGTTGGAGACCCCTGAATTAAAGAGCCTAATTAGCCTCGTCTCACCTCCGCCCTCCCATTCAAGCCTTTGTGACCTGTCTGCGGCCGGACCTCCTTCCTCCAATTCAGCCCCGGAGGGGTACGGCGGAGCGCACCCTCTGCCGGCCTCCGCTACGGCTCAGGTCGGTGCCGTCCAAAGCCCGCTCCGCCCCTCCAGGCGTCTCTGTCGTGCAGCTGCCGGGCGCCTGGCTCCCGGGTCCCACGCGGGCCACGTTCACGCTTGCTCACCATCGCCCTGTTTGGCCGGAGCCGCCTCTCCTCCGAAGGATGCCACGGATCCCCCAATGGGAGACCTAGACCTGCGCCGGGCGGTTATCTCTTCCACCCCCACGAGCCCTCCTGCGCGACCTCCTTTTCTGCTCTTTCCGAAGCCAAAACTCTTTTTGGCCTCCAGGCGGCTTTACGGAGGAGTCCCGAGAGCGCCCCCCTCCTCCCTTTTTCTTCCCCTGAGGCGCTTGGGACAGACCGACGGACGTGGTTCTGCGGGCGGCGGGCAGGGGGGAGGGAGAAGACGGGTAGGTTTCTTTCTCTTTGTTTTTCAGGCGATCAAGGTCCAGAAGGAGGGGCTGATTATTGCATAATGTTCACTTAGCCAAAGGAGGCTGGGGGACTGCCAGCCAGCCGCTACTCTTCGGGAACTGATCAGCTGCGCTTCGCCTGCTGCGCGCCTTGTTTTCTCTGGTGCGGTGGAAAGTTTCTGCTCCGGCCACAAACCCTCCAAGGCATCTTATCTCTTTCAACTCTTCCTCTGATAGCTACAGAATGCAGTAAACCTTTGCTTTTCTCCATGCCATCCTTCCTGGGTCAGACCTTGCAGCCCTCCCCTCAAACCAGTGGCAGAAAGTTGGTTCTGATTTGAATTGCCACCAGTGTATCATAGTACCTCAGAACCTCCTGGGTCAGACAGTTTGTTCTGATTTGAATTGCCATCAGTGTATCATAGTACCCCAGAACCTCCTGGGTCAGACAGTTTGTTCTGATTTGAATTGTCACCAGTGTATCATAGTACCTCAGAACCTCCTGGGTCAGACAGTTTGTTCTGATTTGAATTGCCACCAGTGTATCATAGTACCTCAGAACCTCCTGGGTCAGACCTTGCAGCCCTCCCCTCAAACCAGTGGCAGAAAGTTGGTTCTGATTTGAATTTCCACCAGTGTGTCATAGTACCTCAGAACCTCCTGGGTCAGACAGTTTGTTCTGTTTTGAATTGCCACCAGTGTATCATAGTACCTCAGAACCTCCTGGGCTAGACCTTGCAGCCCTCCCCTCAAACCAGTGGCAGAAAGTTGGTTCTGATTTGAATTGCCACCCATGTATCATAGTACCTCAGTACCTCTGAGCACATCCCACCACACGCTGGGGGCGGGGCACAAAGTGCTGCTGAGTCGTCGCTCTCCAAACTGCCAAAAGGCAGGAAAGCAAGGCAGGTTTGGGGGGGGGGGTAACAAGCAAATGGCTTGTATTTTCTGACTCGCCAGTCTAGCCTCTTGATATTCAGTTGCTCAATCCCTTCAAAGATCTTATCGTCTCCCATCCAATGAACAACCACACCCAACCCTGCTTCGTTCCCAAGCTCAGGTAAGGTCAGCCAGATGCTATTACCTGCTGGGACCTGAAAGTTGGAATTTCAATAGTCACAACTTCTCCTTTCAAAATGCTAAGATCAGGATCGTAATGAAATGAATAACACATAAGATAGAAGTTATATTAACATTGCATGCATTTTTGTACAGCTCCTGCCCTCCAGAAGCACTTAAAAGTCCCCTGCAGAAGTGTTCCTAACAATCACTCAGCCAGATGGCACCAATGTCTGTTTCTTTAGCTCTGGAAAAGAACAGAACCACTATCATATCTGCCTTGAGGCTTAATAGCTAAAATTGAATTTAATCACAAAATGTCCAATTCTCCTCTCTCCTCTCCAAATGTACACACTTAGGAATACTGTAGCTCAAACATATGTTACTTTGGTCATATATTTCAGAGCATAAATATCAATACGGGAAGGAAAAAAAGGATCCCCTTCATTGCTCTGAAGTAACCTATTCCTTTCTGAGATTTCAAGACATTTGGGTATCATTCCAATCTATGGAGTTAAGTCTTCTGAGGATGGAAACAGATGCCTACTGTCTTGTCAATTACCTTTTCCTCTCTGAAGCCAAAAATATTACTAGCAATGCTAAGCCACAGGGAATTCTATGGTAACCGTCCATTAAACCTTCCATTAACCAAGTTACTAAAGAAATGACAATGTCTGGATTCAGTCAACTAAACCATTCATGTGGTTTCTTTGTAATTTAGCAGATTCTGTGATCCTAGACATAGTCATAGATCCAAACTCTGAATCAGAGCCAGATGCCAATGCCTTTCCGTATCAACTCTGGCAATGCTAATATAGGATCTAATCAATAATGTCACCAAAAATATCAGGCGTGTGTATTTGCTCATCTTCCAATGTCACACAGGTGGTCCTTGATTTATGACAATTGAAGCCAAAATTTATGTTACTACACAGTTGTTAAGTGAGTTATGCTCCATTTTACAGCCTTTCTTGCCACAGCTATTAAGTGAATCACTGCAGATGATAAGTTAGGAACATGGTTGTGAAGTGAATCTGGCTCCCCCATTGACTTTGCTTGTCAGAAGGTGACCACACGATCCTGGGAGACTGGATCATAGATATGAACCAATTGTCAAGTCTCCAAATTTTGATTACATGACCATGGGGATGCTGCAGCAGTCATAAGTGTGAAAAATGGGCATAAGTTACTTTTTTCAATGCCATCGTAACTTTGAATGGTCACTAAATGAATGGTTGTAAGTCAAGGACTACCTGTACATATATTTATTTTTTATTTGATTTGATTTCCTACCACACAATCATCCAATAAATTTTATGTCAGATATTAACCTAATAGCAATACTGGCAGCATACAAAACCAGTGCTTCAATACCGGTATTTAAAGACAGCTTGCAGCTGATCTCAAGGTGGCTAAACTCAAGTAAAACATCAAGGGCATATTTCCACATCAAAGAAGGGAGTACAATATATCAATATATGTTCAGCTCTTATCTGTGATTTGAATAAAGACAAAGGATTTTCTTTTAACCATCCAGTACAACAGTTTCTTTTGTGCCCAGTGAAAACTTTTTAGTTTTGGAGACAGCATATATTTATAAATTAGTGGCACAACCATGAGACTCTGCATGGCTCCACAACATGCCAACATCTTCATAGCTCAACCAGAAAAACATTTCAACTTCTACCCCCAAAGAGCCCTCTGATTAAAGTTTCATGATTTGGATCCACAGTAAACACTTTCCATGGAATTCCATCGAGAGCTCAGTAACTTCCACTGCACCATCAACCTTAATTTCAATGAATCTATAGAAGCCCACTTCCTTGATGTCACAATAAAACTACACAATGGGCTTATCAACAGCATGTTATACAGAAAACCCCTAGATATGCTATCAGGCTTCTTCTGATCTTTGGCTATCGTATATTAACCTGGTTCTCCTCTTGCAACAGAGAGCCAATCTGGTATAGAGGTCAACGGTGCAGGCTACAAACAGGGAGACTCTGAATTATAGCCCTGCCTTAAGCACAAAGCCAGCTGGGTAACCTTAGGCCAGTCATCCTGCCTCAACCCTAGGAAGCAGGCAATGGCAAATCACTTCGGAAATCTTTCCAGGAAAACTACATCAAATTGTCCAAGAGTCCAAACTGACTTAAAGGCACCCTGTTCTTGTAATGGCTCAAGAAATAATTCTCATTTTTTTAAATTTAATTTCCTTTTTATTTCAATATCTACAATTGATCCATTTTCCTAACCAATGTTTAATCTAGGTGCAAGATAATATTAACTCTCAAGGTAATATTAACTACATCTGATGAACATGATATAAAACTTTATGCCATCATAAATACATTATCAATAAAAGACTAGAAGATTCTAGAAGATTCCTAATGTATACTCTATGACATTGAGAGAACAGCAACTAAAAACAGGATGTTCAGTAGACATCTCTCTCTCTCTCTCTCAAAAAACACTAGAGTACACAATCACCCAGCAAAATTGATGAGTGGTTGATTCAAGGCAGACAAAAGATAGTTCTTTTTTTATACAACATACAATTAAGAGCGTTTGAATTTGCTCCCTTAAAATGTGGTAACAGCCACAAGCTATTTCAAACAGGATTACACAAGTTTGTGGACTATAAGTTGGTATTCGCTATGGTTGGTAAAAAAAACAACAATGTCCATGTTCAGAAGAAACCTACCTCCAAATACTGGCTTTTGGAGTGAGCTATAGGAATGAGCTATGGTACTAGTGTGTTTGTGGGTCTTGTGCTCTGCCATGGCATCTGGCTAACTACTATTAAAATCAGAAAGCTGGATTAAATGTTCACGAATCTTAATGGGTTCTTCCTGGAAGAAAGTTGTTCTATGTTGTTTCTGTCATTTTCTGTAGATCCACCAGAGAAGCAGCAGGATTAAAAACCCCAAGTTCTGCTAGGAAATGAAATATTGCACCTTAGACATAGTTGTGATATAAAGCTAAGCAATTGCAATTTTACTGAAAGCATTCTCAGCCTTTGTCTCTAAAGGCTTGCATGTCCTGAAGGTGTCAGGCAACTCATCTTTGGGAAGTAATGGATTATGTAAAGAGAGAGTCTGTAAATAAGAGCAGGTGGTTTTGGTTTTTCTGTTGTCATGCACATTTATACAATATTTGATGCCAAATATTCCCAGAGACGCTGGAACCCTCATTTATAATTTTCTGAAAATTACGTATGAGATTCGAAAATGCTGTAAAGTGGTGGGCAAGGCCTCAGTTTTATTTGGCTCCTACATATGAGGTTTAATCTGATCCACAGCTAAGTTTCAGAAGCTCTGTGCCAACACTCAGGCCCTAACACATAAATTTGATATCAACATATTTACGCTGAAGTATTCAGCTGTGGATAAACTGTTTCCCCAAGCAGTAAATTAAAACAATACATCATGTGATCTATTAGCATGCACACAAACATGGATGAAATATCATTCCAGGAGCAAGTAACAGCATCAAGTAGAATTCGGCTGATACTGAAAAGCTAAACAGCATTGAATTTGGTTGGTTTTTGGATGGAAAATTACCAGGGAATCCTGGAGCGTAGGCTAGTTTGGAAAAACAAAAGTACATCTTGAAAATGAGCAGTGACAACCCACTTCCTTATTATTGTCAAGAAAAACCACACTGATGTCTCCAGTTAGTCACGAGGAATCAAACTTGACTTGAGGGAAGTTTTATTTAAAAGAGAAATACTAATCATTCAGCAGCTCTTATCTCAACTTTAAATTTATTCCTGTTTCATATAGGATACCCTTTTCTTTATGGGCTCATCTAGCCAAACAAAGCTCAGTTAATACATTG